AAAGTAGACAAAGGTATAAGAAAACTGCACATCAATATTCTTTGTTAGTATGCATTCAACAATTCCTTTGGAGGTAGTGATGGTTATGAAATACTGTGCTTAAAAGTGCTGTACACATTCAGAAAAACTTCTCTAGTAATGAACTATAAAAATGATCTCTGAAAGTATAGTCTTTAGACACAATCATTTTTTTTAGAGGTTTTTAGGAGTAAGTATGTGCTTGCCAGAAAGACAGAGAGAGACAGAGAGACAGAAAGCGAGAAATCACCCCCAGGGGGGATGGCCATGCCACAATCCCTTCTCCTCCATTCTCTTCTCGGGATCTTGGGTATGCGCACGCAAGTGCCCGGTGTGAGTTTAAGCCACCAGGTCCGGGACTCAAACCATGGTCGACTACATGGGAGTCCAGTGACATAGACATTATGCCAACTACTGGTCCCTAGACTCAATAATTTTTGACAGAATTTTAACAAATCTGATCTAGTAATATATAAAATAGATCATACACTATGACCAGTGGGATAATCTCAGAAATGAAAAAGAAAAGTTTATTTCAATTTTAAGAATTAATGCCACTTACTATATTATCAAAAACATACACACACATACAAAAGAAAAACAGAGGACTCACATGATCATCTCTATAGATGCATAAAAAATAGTTGATAAAATTCAATAGGGAGGGCCAGCACATGGTGTAGCGGTTACGTCACTGTTCTCTCACATAGCTGGTAGCATTTTGAGTCCCAGACCTGGTGGTTTGAAACTCATGCCAGGCACGTGTTAGTGCATGCCCCAGATCCTAGAATGAGAATGAGGAGAAGGGATTGCTCTGTGGCCATCCCCCCCTGGGGAGTTATGTCTCACTTTCCCTCTCACTGTGTCTGTATTTCGCTTTCCAGTGAATGCATGCACCCTAAGGCAAAAACTTATTTAAAGAAAAAAAAAAAAACTAAAATTCAACACTTGTTTATGATAAAATCTCTCAATTCACAAAGAATGGAAAGGAATTTTCTCAACCTGTATATTGTGTCTAACATAAAGCAGTTAATGTCTATAGACATTTAAGGGTGAAAGAGCTAATTTCTTTCTACCATGATTAAGGCAAAAAAAAACAAGTTATCTCTTCTTTACTTTTATTCAGGAATTCTAGCCAGTACAATAAGAAAAAAAACCCAGGGGGGGGGTGGAGGTGTGTAACTGAAAAGAAAAAAGGAAAACTACCTGTACTCTCAGAAGATTTGATCAACTACATAAAAAAATTTGAAAAACTTATAAAAGAGCTGCTAGAACTAAATGAGTGAATTTAGCAAGGTTACAGAATTGTACATTCATTTATTAGCAACAAACAATTAAAAATTGAAGTTTAAAAACCTACACTATTTACAAAGGCATCCAAAACCATGCAATATTAAAGATACATTTAGCCAGGGACATATATGACCTGAACACTAAAAACAATAAAACATTGATGATTTAAAGAATACCTAAGAAAATGAAGTATTACATACATATATTAGAATAATCAATATTGATAAGATGGAAATGTTTTCCTAAGTTAATTTATAAACTCAATGAAATCTCAATAAAAATACTTGTAGGGTTTTTTTAAAAATAGAAATAGACAAACTAATTTTAAAGGTTAAATGGAAATTTAAAGAATATAAAATAACCAAAACTTTCTGAAAATGTGTAACATTGGATGCCTCACACTATCTGATCCAAAAGCTTACAATGCATTTGTAGAAACATGACAGTGTTATATTGAGGTATGAAGAGACAGACATTACAATTCATGGAATAAAATATAAATAGATCCACATGAATATGGTCAATTTCAGGGACTAGCAGTTAGTATAATGACTATGTCGCTGAATTCCCATATAGTCGACCATGGTTCGAGTCCCGGACCCGGTGGCTTAAACTCATGCCGGGCGCATGTGTGTGTATGCCCAAGATCCCAAGAGGAGAATGGAGGAAAAGGGATTGCGGCATGACCATCCCCCCAGGGGTGATTTCTCGCTTTCTATCTCTCTGTCTCTGTCTTCCTGGCAAGCGCATGCATGCTATAGCAAAAACCTCTCCAAAAAAAAAAGAAAGAAAGAAAGAAAGAAAAGGTCAATTGATTCTTTGCAAAAAATAGCAAGTATTTTCATGAGAGTGAGAGAGAAAAAATGTTTTTACAACAAATTATGTTAAAATAATTAAATATCCACATGCAAAGAAATAAACTTCCCCATGACCTGACATCATACACAAAAATTGAGTTGGATCATAGCCATAAATGTAAAACTGAAAGAATGATGCTTTTAGCAAAATCAAATGAAAAAATCTTTATAGTCCTGAGATAAGCAAACTACTATTATTTTTAAAAATGCTTGCAAACCATTGCAATTATTGTGAGAAAATATTTGCAAAAAAGTGTATTTGATAGAAGATTTCTATCCAGCGTATGTAAAAGAATTTGTAGAATTCAATAAGAAGATAAACAACCTGATAAAAATTTGGGCAAAGATTTTGAGCAAACACTACCCCAAAAAAGATATATATAGAGAAAAACATGTGAAAAGATGTTCAACATAATTAGTTACTGGGAAAATCCAAACCAAAACTATAATAAGATACCATGTAGTAACACCGAAATGATCAAAATTTATAAGACTAATAATACCAAGTGTTTGTACAGTTGTTGAGTTACTGGAACAAAACCCTAGATATTGTCTTTCTCTACCCCATACATACATCTCTACATAAATTAGTATTTGAATGGTTATATTAAATTTATTAAAAATACACCAAAACAATAAACAACCTAATTGTCTACCAGCTAATGAAGAGACATATCTGTGTGCTATAAATATTCAGCAGTATGCTCTAATAATGAAAGCAAACAAACCAATGAATCTCAAGTGCATTAAGAAAGTGAAGGAAAACTGATATAAAGGGCTACAAGTTGTACAATCTCGTTTATGTAAAACTCTGTAAGAGGTAAGACTACCATGTAATGATGGAAAGTAGACCACATAGCCAGCAGCGAGGTTAGGGAATCACACTTCACTTGATAAAACATGCCAGGTGCATGTGTTTGCATGCCTAAAATCTCAAAAGGAGAAGAAATAGAGAATAGAGTATTATGACCATCCCCCATGGTGAGTGCTTTCTCACTTTCCCTTTCTCTTTCAATCTCCCTGGCAAATGTATGTACCCTCTGGCAGTTTTGTTTTGTTTTGTTTTTTAAGACAAGCAACACCACATTTGTTTATTTGTTCAGTAATGAAAACTCTTTGTAATCATTGCTGCTTTGAGTATAAATGATTTCAACCACTTCAGAAAATGGTTTGGCTTTCCCTTGGACAGGCACATATACTGCAAGTCAGCGATTTCATTAGTGTGTATATGTTTCAGATAAATTGCTGCCCCTTAGTTAAGTTATTGTCCATGTTAGCCAAGAACATGTACAATACTGTTTACAAAAGCTTTGTTAATAATAGAAAAACAGTCCAAAATTTCATCAACAGTAGAATGGATAAGTGGTGGTAAAGTCTTACAGTGAACTATGATAAGGCAATAAAAAATGAGTGACCTATAATATGCAACATGGATGAATTAGGTAAGAACATAATTTTGAGTGGAAGCATAAAAGCACAAAGCAAATATATCATTTGATTTATTTATATAAAATTCAAAATTTGGCAAAACTTAGTCATGTACAACTTAGCAGTACATATTTAAGTGTAAACCCTCCAGAGAAAGCAAAGGGAAAGGCAATATACAATTTAGGGTATTTATTGGTTTCTGTACATTTTCCTCAGATGCATTAAGTTGTAACAGTCAGTGTAAGCAACGCTGAGAGGAGATGGATGCCATTAGTATGAGGCATAGGAGAGAGTCTGAAGGATAGTAACTCTCTCTCTTAGACTTGGTAAGAGATAGTTACTTGGTTAGATAGGCTAAGGTTTTCTTTTGCTTATTAAAATTTTTTCTTTTGCTTATTAATATGTGCATGCTCCTCTACATTTTTATATGCCCTATATGTTTTTAATTTTAAAAATCACAGGTTTAAAGGGCCTCAAATTAGATATTTCAATTCAGTAAGTTAAGATGGCAGCAAGAAATCTGTATTTTTATCAAATTCCTACAGTGATTTTGATACAAATAGCCTGAGGATCACATATTGAGTTTCTACATTATTTTTATAAGTTGAACACTTCATTCTTCTAGCTCAGCATTTTGAAAAGGAACTACAAAATGTATAAAGGAAGCAGTTTATATAAAAAACACAACACTTCTAATTTCAGAAAGTATCACTTTACTATACAAAAAAAAAAAACTAAACATTTGCACAGAGAAAATCAAAAGGAGTTGCATTTTTAGACAATGTTGGGGAAGCTACACAAGAGTCTGATGAACAAAAATCATAAAACATCTCCGTACCATGCCAGTACCATGCAGGGAAACCCAGTCAACCTTCTACCATTGGTTGAGGTATTTAGTACCTGAAAGTCAACCCAGTGCCCTCTTTGCTTAGCATTTGCCTATAAATACCTAAAACCCTGGTATTTTCACACAACATGAAATTACTGTCAACATACTTTATAGAAATAAAATTATGTTAAAGGAAATACAATACAAAAAAGATGACATAGGTGAGCTGCCAGTCAATATTAATGTAAATTTTCCTAAGATTCATTAAGTTATAACAGTCAGTCCAAGCAACACTGTTTAATTATTTCAACAATCTGAATGTAGAATGCTTCTATTCCAAGCAATCTTGCATAATTCTATTTTACATATATACAGATTATGCTATTATATACACACATCAAGGGACTCCTTCAGTCATGTCCTGTCAATGGCAGTGACTTTTTCAGGCAGAAAATTTTCTTTTTGGCGTCTTGCTCAGAGCAAGAGGCATAGGCAGCCATTTCTTTCTGTGTTCAGTATATTCAGGGAAGTCTGAACTCTCAGCTCGTTGTTCTGTTTTCTTTGTGTTTTTTTTGTGGAATGATAAGCAGTGTTAAGAATCGGGGTGGGAAAATAGAGTCTCTGGTCGAATATTTCAAAGTTTAGCTACACTTTGGATTTTTGTGCTTCTACGAGACTATATGAACCCTTCATGTTGGCTTTTCTTGCAAAGTAAACGATCATTCCAATGGCAGGTATTATTAAGGAAGATGCACAGTAAAGCACAAGAAGTTCAGGGGAAAAATAGTCCTTATTTTCAACTCCTGCAAAAATAACAAAATGGACACAGTTAATGTCTAGTACAAAAAGAAATAATTTCATAATGATAATTCCATGTTTTACTCTAACAGTACAACCAGTTCTTTAAAGATAAGAGAATCAGGGAACCAGCAGTTAGCATAATGGCTATGTCGCTGGACTCCCATGTAGTCGACCGCAGTTCGTGTCCTGGACCCGGTGGCTTAAACTGACGCCGGGCGCGTGTGCGTGCGTGCCCAAGATCCCGAGAGGAGAATGGAGGAGAAGGGATTGCGGCGTGACCATCCCCCCCGGGGGGTGATTTCTTGCTTTCTGTCTCTATGTGTCTCTGTCTGTCTGGCGAGCGCACGCGCCCTATAGCGAAAACCTCTCCAAAATAATAATAATAATAATAATAAAATAAAATAAAAATAAGAGAATCAAAGCAGCAATAAGAACCCTTAGGACCTAGAATGCCAATTTTTCTGAATCATTCAAATAATTAGTTGGTGGTTGATATAATCAAGATGGAGCTAAAGATGGCAGTTTTTGACTTTCACAAAGATGGAGGCAAATAAGTTCGGGTTTCATTGTAGAATGGAAGGGAAAGTACACCTCTTTAGGGTTCATTTACAAGACCAGGAATTGGAAGGGAATGTTTGTTTTCAGAAAGAGAAATATCTGCGGAACAAGTGGGACTTTTATCACCATGAATTGAAATGACTAACCAGTTCTCCAAGAAAATCCTATAACATTCATAGTATGAACATTATAAATAAGACAGGAAGAGAAAAAATTCTTGTTGATAGTTTTTTGAGAAATACTAGACAACTTTTGTTTATGTCTGAAGTAGGGCATCTTAATACATGTTTTTCCTCTTCATAATTCATAGAACTTCTTGATATACTGAAGTCATTTGGACAGTATCATGTTTCAGCTTAATATTACTTACAAAGAGCCATTCTCAGATCCACATCATTCTCTCCTCATTTAAATTAAGAACCTCCAAATATTCTTAAAACCTACTATACTTTCTCTTCACAGACCTTATCATGGCTTATAATTAAACATTTAGTCACATAATTATCTATTAAATTTGGCTTCCTCCTTAGAACCAGCAGATAGGGTAATGGTTAGTTACATCAATGGACTCCCCCATAGTCAACCACAGTTCAAGTCTCAGACCCAGCAGCTTAAACTCATGCCAGGCATGTGTGTGTATGTGTGTGTGTGTGTGTGTGTGTATGCAAAATCCTAAGAGGAGAATGGAGGAGAAGGGATTGTGGCATGGCCATCCTCCCTATTGGACGATTCCTCGTTTTCTGTCTCTCTCTGTCTCTCTGGCAAGTGCATGTGCCCTATAGCCAAAAATCTCTTTTAAAACCTTTTTATTTCCTCCTCTAGACTGTACACTACATAAATACTTTTTTTTTCTTCCCTAATAAATAGCCAGCATCTGACTAAGTGCTTGGCATAATGAGCAACCTCAAAATATTTGTCGAACATTAATACATTTTATTTCTACATCCTGTCATTGTGCCATTTAGTCATAAATGGAATACAGAAGGCAATGGTGTACATAAACCTTAAAACTAGTTCTCTTTCTAAACTACTAAAAAATAACTGATAGCTGTAATAACAATTTAACATCTTTTTTTCTTGTTTTAGAATTTTGCCATAAGGCATGTAAGCTTTCTGAAGAGACAGAGAGAGGACAGTGAGAAATCACCCACAGGTGGGGATAGCCATGCCACAATCCTTTCTCCTCCTTTCCGCTAAGGATTTTAATGCAGGTACATAAGCCTGGCATATTTTTCAAGCTTCTGGGTTCATAACTCAAACCATGTAGCTGGCCATGTGGGATCCAAAGCTTCAACCACCACAATGCCTTCCGGTCCCTAACATCATAACCTGCTAAGAGTAGCTGAAGAAGCTAGCATGGCATTTACTGGAGTCACACTTCTGTTTATGCTTTGTTTGCACAGCATCGTGTGGCCTCACAGTATTAACTTTCACTCAGTGGCTTATATGTTGCCTCAGTCCTGGAAGAAATGAGTGGTCTGACTTTGCTAATCAGTACATTTCTTCTAGAGTTTTCAAATCACTGACAATCTGACAAAGAAAAAAGAATCAGTATCATCAGATGATGTGACGTCATTTTTTTCAAGTTATTGAAGAAATAACACTTCTCATGAGGCGTGGTGCAGTGGTTAGGTGGCTGGATCCCACATGGCCAATTGCACTGTTTAAGTCCAGAACCTGGTGACTTGAAAAACACGTTGGCCACATGAGCATGTTTGCCCAAAACCCAAAAGGAGAGAAAAATGAAGAGGGCTTTGGATTGCAGCATGAATATCCACAGTGGGGGATGCTTTTTCACTTTCTCTCTCTCTCACACACCCTCTCTCTCTGTCTCTCTTTAGCAAACTTATGATGCACTCTTGGAATATTAATAAAGAGAGAGAGAATTGCCCAATTTTTCTACTTCCTCTGTTAGAGTTGAGATAGGCAAAGTATGTCCCTTATCACAATTATGAGGAGACTTCAAAAGTTTGTGGAAAAAATGGAATCAAAGTATGAATTCATTTTGATACAAAAAATTCCAAAATCTATGCATCATATTCCATGAACTTTTTGAAGACCCCCTGTAGGGTATCAATATCGTAGGGTAGCAACATTGATGACATGCTGGGCAATGGTATTTCTTGTTTCTATTGTTTGCTTCTTCATTTAATAAATATTATCTTTTGCTTTCAGTTTTCCCCCTCATTTTTCTACAGAAAACCACAAATTTGTTGCTGAGTTAGTTGCCAGAGCAACCTTCAAATGCAATTTTATCTTAGTTGTATAAACTGAAAATTTTAAAGACTCCCTATCATTTCTATCAGTGGAATATATTAAAGCCAAAGCAAAACAAAACAAAGCAAATTTTAAAACCAGCTAAACATGATAGAAAACTAGCTCAAAATACCCAGAAAAGTGTCAAATGGTTTTTTTGTCTCCATTCATATCTATTTTAACCCTATTGAGATTGGGGTCATGATTGCTCACTTAAAGGATGAGTAAAATATGGCAAATATGTAAGTGACTAATTTAATAAAGCTATTAGAAAAGACAACAATGTGTAAGAGAGAAAAAGTTAAAAAGTGGAAAAGAAGCTTTGATGTTTTTTTTTAAGAACAATTCATTATAAACAGAATTACAGACATGTTAAGAATCCTGTCTCCTGGAGCAAGACTTAAATAAAAGTGGCTTGGAGGCATCAGGATTAAAGGAAATAGAATTTCTCTTTGGTAAAAGGGCGAATGGAGAGAGAAAAAAAAATGCTTCAGAAGAAAACTATAGAGCAATTGTTACTAGATTTTAGCTCTGTTCATAGTTGTTTTTTGAGTTTTTAGGATCTACCTACTGTTTTGGACAGAATCCTAACCTGTTTCCTAGCTCTATGTCTTAAGCAAATTTTTCTTAACTTTTTTAAAATTTTGATTCACTAAAGCTAAAATGGCTTTTCTTGACATTTAAACATAATAACAATAAACTAAAGACAGTGCAGGAGAAGGATGGGCAATAGGAAGGGGGAGGGAAGCAAAGGGGGGGAAGCAAAACATTTAACAGAAACAAAAATGGAAAAATATCTGTCAATAATAATGTGTATGATAATATCTTTGACTGTACCAATATGCAGTGTATTCAAGTGGCAAAATTCATTTTGTATGCTGTAAAGATGTACAGTGATCAGATGTAAAAAAAAAAAACAGAAGTAGAAGAAAAATAAAGCAATTAATAAATAAATTTTAAAAAAGAAAAAGGGAAATAGGAAGGAAAATATGAATCTACTTCTAACTGAGATCTCAGTCTGTCCTAAATCAACTCCAACCTCACTAGAACACTGATTACAAACACCCCTGTATCTCTCTGAGTGACATGATACAAGGTCGATGTTCCATTTTTTGAACACATAATAACTTCATTGGCCAGATCAACTCTTTTCAGAATAATCAGTGCAGGAGATTGACTAAGAGTTTTATATGTAATTGTGGTTTTTCCCCCTTTAATGTTTCTAGATGGATGTGTTGTTATTGTCATGTTTTGAGGAGGTGCTGTGAAGGCAGAAAATATAGTAAGGCTTGCAACCCTGAGAAATTTGGCCAGTTGAGTATAATTTGTATGTACTTTCTGACCTAGGTTCAGTTTTCTCTAAGTGCTTGCTGACTGATAGCCAAGTGCTAGACCTCTTAAGAGCTGGCATTTGTTTGCAGCCCTGTTGACTTCACCAGCTAAGCATGGCTTCCAGTATACAACAGAAACTCACAGCATGCTAGGAGTGTGAGGCTGATTAGTCAAGGTGACAGATTGTGATGACATCTATACGATCAACAGATCCTATCTACTGTGCATCCTCAAGAGGGGTTAGGAGATTAATGAGCCTCTGAAGAGGCTACTGCTCCCCTCTCTGCATCAGAATGAGGTAGGAAAGCAAGGGACTTGAGTTTTTAAGAAGGTTTTTCTGCAGTCCAGAGATATCCTAATGTTGTTAAGGATCAAGATTGCTACTGCAGATTATTATCCTGCAGAGAGTCAATGCAGAAAATATAGTTACTCCTTGTTCAAGAACTAGTGTTCCCTTCCTGTAGTAGGAGAAAAGTTCTGCATAGAATCTTTTTTGGTCATGACATTCCTACTTCTTGAACTTCCTTGTAACTCCCAGGGAAAGATTTTGAAAATACGGCTAAATGCTTAGTAAATAAAAGACTTCAGAGACCAATGATGAATTGCCACCTTTGAAAAAGGCAAACAGGAATTTCACATTCACCAGTGATTAATGTCAATTTCCTGGCTAAACTCCACAAGCTAGAACAGCAGTGCTTGACTATTTCAAGAAATATTAAGAAATAACCATAGTCAATATAGAATCCAGATCTATTTTGCCAATTCATTCATCTACAACTAGAAATTCTTTGCAATCCATGGAACCTTTGAGCTTATTAAAAAAAATAGCAAGAAATAAAACCAAAACACTAGCTAACCTTTGACATCAAGTGTTAAACTTCTTAATTGGGAGCCAATCTCATTCTTAGATTCACATTCATATATTCCTGCATCTTCCAACTGGGCCTTTCGGATAGTATATGCACCATCTATAGACTTTAGCACGGTGTCTCCTGTCTTTGCTTTTTTCTTCAGGATAATCCAAGTTTCTGGAGCATTTCCACATGTACAGGAGATAATGACAGTGTCTCCTTCTCTGACACTCTCAGAAGGAAAAGCTGTAAGTTGTATATCTTTTGGCGCAACTATGAAGAAAATATAAAAGCCACCTTCAAATAAGTGAAATGTAAGCCAATTACATATTAATGACAGTAACAATAGCTGCCAAGGAGCTCTTTGTGCTTACTGCTTGCATTTAATGTTAAAAGAGCAAGTAAAGAAATCAAACATTTATAGGACTGCTGTAAATAATCATACTTTAAAGTAAAAAAGACATGCTTCTCTCATGTCTCTTAATAATGTTTTATCAAGTCTAGAACAAAGAATAGTTTGATAAATAGCATAGACTTCAATGCAAAAATAATTCAAATGTGAAAAAGAATTTTTTGTCACACTGTTTTCTAAAATTTCCTTACAGTACAAAAACCTTTACAGACTTCAGGGTTTTCAGCTCAATCTTTCCAGATCATGAAATTATATTGTACAAAGATGACTTACTTACTTTACTGTCCTTAACAACACAACCACTTACTGAGTTCCAGACACTGGGCAAATTTTTGACATACAGTATCTCTAGTAATGCAACAAACAGTGGAGGGAGAGATTGCTGTGTGAGATTCCCACTAAGGTCAATTATGTCATTTATTTTGTGACTTGTTTTGAGAGTCTTTCCCATCCAAAATCACATAGCTTGACATCTATCCTAAAGGTTTTATTTTAAAATCATACATTGCCCTTCCAAGGTTCTCTTTTAAAAATAGTAATCTCATTGAGATGAGGTAATTAGAAAGCCACTAATGCCTTAGTGGGAACATTACCAAGGGGTGAGAGAGACTCAACAACCCTGGTGAAGAAAAGAATCCCAGTCCTCCAAAGGGAAGTTATGGGGCAAATCCAAATGATCACTTGGTGGTTTTGCTCATCACTGTTTATGGATTCAACCTGCCAACTAGGAATTATTTTGTTCCTGGTCTCCTCTCCATCCTGGGGAGAAGAAGCCCATTTCTGATAACTTAATCTACTTTAGTGTTTCTGTGCCATGAGGCTGATGAGCCAGAAGGCACACTTGCTGCTACTCGTCATGTCTGAACTTCCAAAAGGTTTAAGTCTCTTCTTAGGCTTCTCAGCCAATACCAGTAAGCATCTTGTAAGACTGCCACTCAGGTTCCAGTTCAGCCACGATTCTAAGTAATTCTCTAGCACATAGATACCCCTTCCTATTCTGACTTCAGCTCCATGATTATTGCCTCATAAGTGTAACTGGAACTTCTGGCACAATTCCTGGAGCTAGCATTTCACTTGAGGTTAAAACATTTCAGGATAACTGTCTTCTAATGGTTCATGAGAAAGTACCATTCCAGAAACTGACCATGAATAGAAAACATCACAAACTTCAACACTCTCAATACATTCTTTTTAGCAAAAATTTAGTTTTCTAAGAGGAGTTTGTTCGTAACTGGTAACGCAAACAAAAATGAATAAATTAATTAAAAAGAAGAAAGAAAAGAAAATGCTGGCAATAATAACTCATTAATCGCACTCTGCTCACCTTGAATAATTAATTCAACTTCTTTTCTGCTTATGCCAGCCTGGTTAATCCCTTCACACACATAAATACCAGAATCTTCCATTTTTGTAGAAATTAAGGTGAGAGTTGTATTCTCAGCAAGAGGCTGTAGATCTCCATTATTCCGCAGCTTGCTCCACTGGATTTTTGGAGTTGGAAGGCCATCACTTGAGCAAGTCATATTCACAGAGCTGCCTTCTTCCAGGATGGAGGAGGGACTGACCAAGATGGTGGTATCTCTGGGAGCAACTGAAAAGGTAGGGACACCGATTAGCTTGACCCTGAGCTCCAAAGAGTTTTAATGATGTTGCAAAATTGGGCTGCAGTCTTAGCAGAAGTTCAGTTTATAAACCTTATTAATTTTATCATGGGAAGTTTCTGTCCCCCACCTGATTTAGCAGACACAGAAAGATAGAGTAGAATAGAGACACTATTCTACTCCATTTCATATTCTCTTAAAGTCAGTTCTGTAAAAACTCTCTTGCTACCAAAAAAGGGATGGTCAATGATAGTGTGTATTGCCATCTATGACAAAGTAAACATGACCAGTAATTATCTGGATCTCTACCTGGAAAAAGTGGAGCCTATTTGGTGAATCTGGACAGGCCTTATTATTTGCTTTGATCAGTAAATCATGAAGGAAGTGATACTGTAAGAGTTCCAAATTCAGGCCTTTAAAGGCTGCTTTCATTATCACCTTGAAACACTGTGCTTGGGCAAGTGCACCTAGGCTCTCTTCCTTGAGAATGATATCATGGGAAAAAAAGAGGCTCAGATATTACAGAAAAGATCCCAGACATGCGGGTTCAACAAAAATATTTTCCCATTCTGAGGGTTGTCGGTTCACACTTGTTACTGTGTCCTTTGCTGTGCAGAAACTTCTTAGTCTAATATAGTCCCACTTGTCTATTTTAGGGATTATTGCCTGTGCTTTGGGAGTCTTATTTAAGAAGTCTTTGCCTACTCCAATGTCTCCCAGAGTTTCCCCAGCATTTTCCACAAGTAGTTTTATTGTCTGAGGTCTTAGGTTCAGATCTTTGATCCATTTTGAGTTGACTGTTGTTAATGGTGAAAGATGGGGGTTCAGTTTCATCTTTCTGCAGGTGGATACCCAGTTTTTCCAGCACCATTTACTAAAGAGGTTTTCCTTTTCCCAATGGATTGACTGATATCCTTTGTCAAAGATCAGTTGGCTGTAAGCTTTGGGGGTTATTTCTGGGGTCTCTATTCTCTTCCATTGGTCCACATGAGAATTGACTGAATTTCTTAAAAATCTTAGAATTAGGTCCAGCAGATAATGTGGTGATTAAAGGCACTGGATTTCCACATGGCCAACTGTTGCTCAAGTCCAAGATCTAGTGGCTTGCGTTCTCACTCCCCACCCCCCTTCTCACTCTGTCCCTCTCTGGTCAAATAAAATTAAATAAATAAATAGATAAATAAAGTTAAATAAAATAATTATTTAAAACTTTTTAGAATAAGTGAAAATTAGAGAATATGCATGCAAATTAGGTCCCAGAAACAGTCAAGTATCTCATAGTTCTCAAAAAAATTTACAAACATGGGTGCTGGCTGGTGGCATAGCAGATACGTCGCTGACTCCCACATGGCCGATCACAGTTTGAGTCCCAGACTTGGTGTCTTGAAACTCATGCCAGGCATTTGTGTGCCTGCCCAAGATCCTGAGAGGAAAATGGAGGAGAAGGGATTGTGGTGTGGCCATCCCCACCTGGGATGATTTCTCATTTCCCCTCCCATTGTCTTTGTCTCTCTCTCTCACTTCAGCGAGCACACACACCCTAAGGCAAAATCCTCTACAAAAAATAAAGAACAAAAACTCAGACACATGAACAAGACCATCTGAGCCCAATCAGCCCTGCTAACATGACTGAAAATACATGAGTAAGCTCAGCAGATACCATAGTGTGCAGAATGTCTACCCAGCTGGCCAACTCAGAATCACAAGCAATTAAAGGAGTATTATGTTAAGTTTGGGATGTTGGTATATTACAATCATGATTTTTTGAAATTTCTTTTTTTTTTCACAGAACTTTTAACCATTGACCTTATGTTAACTATTCTCTAGCAAACATGATAAAGAAATCCATATTAAATTGTGGATGCATCACTTATGTACTTACCATTGACATTAAGTGTCTGTATGCTCTGCCTTTGTTTGGGTTCAAATTCCATTTCATCAATATGTAACTTAGCCCGACAAACAAGAACTTTTCCAGTGTCTTCAATGGTGGGGATGAAGGTCACTTCCAAACTTTTGGTCTCTAGGGACTTCATTTCCACTTCCTCCAAAAAGACTTTATTCTTCATAAGAGTGTCTCCTTTGAGTAATTCAAGCTCCAGTCGGTCCAAAGGGTACACATTCGGAACCTTGCAGTTTACAGTGAGAGGGTTCCCATTCACTAGTGGACCACTCATCTCAATCTCTGGACCTCTAGGGAATGCTGTAAATGTTAAAGGGAAATGATTTTTACACCTTTCAAGGAAATTGAGCTAAGCTCTATAGAAAGCAAAGATCTCATAATTACACTTTAACTCAACTAGAATAGAATGATCATCAATACATAAATTATGCTATTAAGCATAAATATGTATTTGTAATATTAAAAATAATGTTGGAAACAAAAAACTTAGTACATTAACTCATCAAATAATAAATATTTATATTTCTTATTTTTTGTTGTTGTTGTTGTTAATGATGAAATATTTCTGAAGGCCATGACTGGATCTTTCCCAAGGACACATCAACTTTCATCAACTCATTTAATAACTAGATATTTTCATTCTTCTAAATATTTTCTATGATGTATTGAATATGAATAGGAACAAATCCTTTAACATTCACTGTCTTAGTCCTCAAAGCAGCCTGATAAAATAGGCATCACTGAATTTATTTTGCAGCAAGGAAAATTGAGACAGAAGCTAAGAGACTGTCTTTCTGCATCATGCCTAGTAACTCACTGAGTGGAGCTCTGAACCTATGCTTCTCTGAGCCCAGAAGCCCAGGCTTGGTTTCACAGAGCTGTGAAGCCTCTCATTTTCAAATGAGACACACAGAGTAGTTCTCAATTTGGATGGTTTCATTTCTGAAGACCAAATTTGACAGCAAGTTTTGAGCAGATCTCAATTTAGATGGTTTAATTTCTAATGATCAAATTTAGGCAGCAAGTTTTAAGCAGTTTTCAGATAATACAGTTAAGATGGTTCTTAGGGATCAGCAGATAGCATAATGGTGACATCACTGGATTCCCACATGGCCAACCACTGTTCAAGTCTCAGACCCGCTGGCTTGAAACTCAGGCTGGGCATGTGTACATGCATGTCCCGAGAGGAGAATGGAAGAGAAGGGATTGTGACGAGGCCATCCCCCCAAGGGGGATGATTTCTCACTTTCTTTCTCTCTGTCTTTCTGGTGAGCACATGTGCCCTATAGCAAAAATCTCTCTCTTGAAAAAAAAATGATAACTATATTATTAAAATCTGAATCTTCCAGATTTATAAAACTTAACATTTATAATATATTTTATGCAAATCAATAAAAATGAGACTAAAATAGGTATCGAGGGCAAGAGTAATGCTAATTTTTTTCCTTAAGCAAAATGTTGTTAAAGTGATACATCCTCAATATTTCCATATTGCAACAAGACTTCACTGCTGGTTCTCATTTCTGTTTGAAATGTGCCTAGATCAGCAGATCCTGGAGTCTGGGTAATATGATAAAGCAATGAAATTTACCCTTCTTTTGAGAGATTCAAATCCCTTTACAGGCAAACTCTAACTCACTCTGAACAAAATATTGAAGGGTAACACAAGTCTGGGTAGAGCTTCTGGTGGAAAAATCTCTACGGTACATTCTCTCGAGTCCATGGAATAAAGCAAGGCGGAGTAACCCTCCCAAAAATACCTCTGTTCACTTTACATATTTTGTCCCTCATTTATTATAGACAAAAATCCCAGCCATGTCAAATTCATATATGTTCTGATTAAAGAGACAAGAAAAGTGCAGAATATGTGTGCAGCGTAAATCAATATTAAGACCTAGTACTGCCCCCCAGATCTCTTGACTGTCTCCACCTGCAGTCTAAGTCCTTGTCTTCATTTTTACTTTCTCCTGCCTCTCAGTGCCTCATTTCCCGCCACCCCCTCCACACTGCAAATGTGCCTTTAGAACAGAAGACTCAAAGCGCACACCCAATTAGAGTAGTTACTCACTGCCAGTTATCTGAAAGGGCACTGACGCCCATGGTGCTCACTTACCACCTTCATATGTGTCTTCTACACATGAAGGAACAAGCAGGGAGCATGGAGAGAGTTCAAGTGCGTGGTGAGAGAATATCAGCAAGGCACAAACTGAGGGTGGTAGATTCTGTGCACATATGTGATACTCAGGCTAATTTTGCAACAAACCATTCTGGTTCAGAGATTTAGAAACCATTCACAATGCTAAATTCTCTTTCTAAACACCTGAGTCTCACTGCATATTATAGATTCTCATTCTTTTTCTCCCAACAGCACTAGAAAAAAAAACAATGAATAATTCTGAAAACCACTTACAGTAGAGCTCCACCTGAATGCCCTTCTCCAGTTTCTTACGTCCGCAGGTCACTGTACACAGGTAATAATGTTCATTCTCAAAGCTCACGGGGCTCAGGGTCAGTGTGGACTTGGGCCCTTTGCTCTTCACCTTTCCACTCAGAGGGCTGTCTATCTGAGTTCTCCAGGAGAAAGTGGGGGACTCACAGCCTCTAACACTACACGTCACTGTGACTGAGTCCCCAATCTGAGCAGCAATCCGAGGTCCAGGGGAGATCTCAACAGTAAATGGTTTCTCTAAGTAGAACAAAAGAACAAGATGGAAAAAAAAGGTAAGATTCCTCTTTTCTTTTATACCATTTTAACGAATGATCTTTATTTTTCCTGATCTTCTTTCAGCTCATCTCTATTCCAAGAAGAAATTACTCCTTTCCACCTGAGGACTATCAGAAATAGGAATGCATCTTTTAAGAACGAGTTCATGGGAGCTACAGTTAGCGTAATGGCTATGTCGCTGGACTCCCATGTAGTCGACCGCAGTTCACGTCCCAGACCCGGTGGCTTAAGACTCACGCTGGGCACGTGTGCGTGCGTGCCCAAGATCCCGAGAAGAGAATAGAGGAGAAGGGATTGCGGCATGGTCATCCCCCCTGGGGGGGTGATTTCTCGCTTTCTGTCTCTCTGTCTCTCTCCCTATAGCAAAAACCTCTCAAAAAAAAAAAAATGAATTCATGATGGGGACCAGCAGATGGCACAATGGTTACATTGCTGGACTCCACATATTGGACTGCAGTTCAAGTCCTGGACCCATGCGTGCGTGCCCAAAATCTCTAGAGGAGAATGAAGGAGAAGGAATTGCAGCATGGCCATCCCTCCTAAGGGGTGATTTCTTGCTTTCTGTCTTTCCGGCGAGCACATGCACCCTATAGCAAAAATCTCTCTCTAGAAAAAAGAAAAAGAAGGAATCTATGACAGTCTGTTGAGTCATTCATATAATGAAATGAATGTAGATAAAAATTTGTCAAGAAACAGGTTGGCATCTTTTCTTAGTGGTAATCCAGTCTCTACTCAAGTGCAGCTTATTAAATCTCTATAAGAGTGGACAATAACCTAAATAATTTTAGTGGTTCCTGTTTCTAGTATTATATAAACCACTTTCCATGTATTATCTCATTTAATTCTCATCAATTTATGAACTAGTACTGTTATTTCTTCTTTGCCTTCTCTTTCTTCTGCTGCTTTACTCCTTCTCTTCCTTTCTCATCCTTTTCTCCCCTTTTCTTCTTGAGGAAATTTAGGTTCCAAAATGCTAAGGATGCAATGGTAGGTAGGTTTAATTTGTGATGCCAGATGAGATTGCTAAAACAATTAAATCAATTCATCTTTATGTGGAAGAAAAAAAAATAAACCAAGATCTAAAGGAGATAAAGGAGATACTGGGTAAAACTACAAAAATACCTTTTTTTGTTTGTTTGTTTTCTGATATAATACTCGTAAGGGACCAGCCCTTAGAGCTTCTGTTTCAACAATATAAAATTAGACCATTGAAAGTTACATAGAATCAAATTAAAAGCCAAGTCAAAATATAAGCATTAAAGTGATACCCAAGTCCAAAATTCATTTGATACAATATAAAAATACTTTACAATTAATTTAGGACCTGCATGCTAAGATGTAAGGGCAAACTCGTAAGTCTCAGATACTCGGAGAGCTCCTTGGCTCCCAGTGCCATCTCTGCTGAGCACACAGGCCTCTTTTGAATGGCTGCTGGAGGAGAAGGGATTGCGGCATGGTCATCCCCCCTGGGGGGGTGATTTCTCGCTTTCTGTCTCTCTGTCTCTCTCCCTATAGCAAAAACCTCTCAAAAAAAAAAAAATGAATTCATGATGGGGACCAGCAGATGGCACAATGGTTACATTGCTGGACTCCACATATTGGACTGCAGTTCAAGTCCTGGACCCATGCGTGCGTGCCCAAAATCTCTAGAGGAGAATGAAGGAGAAGGAATTGCAGCATGGCCATCCCTCCTAAGGGGTGATTTCTTGCTTTCTGTCTTTCCGGCGAGCACATGCACCCTATAGCAAAAATCTCTCTCTAGAAAAAAGAAAAAGAAGGAATCTATGACAGTCTGTTGAGTCATTCATATAATGAAATGAATGTAGATAAAAATTTGTCAAGAAACAGGTTGGCATCTTTTCTTAGTGGTAATCCAGTCTCTACTCAAGTGCAGCTTATTAAATCTCTATAAGAGTGGACAATAACCTAAATAATTTTAGTGGTTCCTGTTTCTAGTATTATATAAACCACTTTCCATGTATTATCTCATTTAATTCTCATCAATTTATGAACTAGTACTGTTATTTCTTCTTTGCCTTCTCTTTCTTCTGCTGCTTTACTCCTTCTCTTCCTTTCTCATCCTTTTCTCCCCTTTTCTTCTTGAGGAAATTTAGGTTCCAAAATGCTAAGGATGCAATGGTAGGTAGGTTTAATTTGTGATGCCAGATGAGATTGCTAAAACAATTAAATCAATTCATCTTTATGTGGAAGAAAAAAAAATAAACCAAGATCTAAAGGAGATAAAGGAGATACTGGGTAAAACTACAAAAATACCTTTTTTTGTTTGTTTGTTTTCTGATATAATACTCGTAAGGGACCAGCCCTTAGAGCTTCTGTTTCAACAATATAAAATTAGACCATTGAAAGTTACATAGAATCAAATTAAAAGCCAAGTCAAAATATAAGCATTAAAGTGATACCCAAGTCCAAAATTCATTTGATACAATATAAAAATACTTTACAATTAATTTAGGACCTGCATGCTAAGATGTAAGGGCAAACTCGTAAGTCTCAGATACTCGGAGAGCTCCTTGGCTCCCAGTGCCATCTCTGCTGAGCACACAGGCCTCTTTTGAATGGCTGCTGTTTAGGGAGAAGAGGTATTCCACATCCTGGCTCTGTTCCCTTGAAGATACTGGGAGTCACTGGTCAACTCTGAAGTGACAGTTGAGACTCCATTGAAAAGATCAGAATCTTCCTTGTAAATAACAGATCAGGGGCACAAGAAAAAAATTTCAACACACAAATAATCCAAACATACTACATGTTTCATGGTTCTCATTTGTATCAGCTATTATTATTTTTTTTAATTTGGTTTGTCTAATTGTGACATCTGAGTATTTTCCAAAGAAGGTTCTTCTCAAATTATCTCAATAAACTGATATGCTATTAAATTTTGGTTTCTTTTTAAATCATACTTTTTTTATTGTTAAGGCATAAAGAAGTATCAAAATTAAAAGCAAAATTATGGGGTAAGACTTAATAAAACTAATAGGAGTATCAAAAGAAGTGAAATGGGACTAGGCCCCGGGCAGTATGAACTAATGAACATGGGAAGGACAGAGATGGGGAGAACAGTGAGCATGTGCTGAAGATACTAGGGGAGAGGGTCTGGTGGAAATTTGATCTTAGACAAGCACCTAGGTAAAGAAATAATGGGGAAGATTTCTAAAACCCACTATGGGCTGAAGAGTCATTCTCGCCATTGGCTATTAAATTTCGAATCACAGGTCATTCAGAGCAATAACCAGAGTTTCTGAGTTCCTTATATGCTAGTATGAGAATGAGGAGCTTTAAAACGGATTTAGTTCCTGCCTAAGAGCAGTCCACAGATCATTCTTTACAGTGGCTACATGCATTACGATGTGAACTGGTAGCTCTTAGGGGAGTTACTTTTAGGCAGCTGAAAGGTTCTTTGAGAGCTCCGTTGTGTCCTCAGTACTTAGGGTAGTTAGTACCCCATGTGATGCGAAACTCAAAATGACAGTCCCCAACCCCAGAACACATTTTCTTTTCTCATTGAAACAGAATACAGCTTATTATGAGGTATAACTATTTCAGGATGAATGATTTGCTTTTTATACTTTTAGTGGTATAATATGCTTCCTGGTTGTTTGAGAATTTAAATACCCTACTGAGGTAATCTACTGATGGTGAGTTCGAGTTCTATTTTCAACTACCTAAATTTAAAGTTCATTTTCTTATATTTTAAAAAATGTGTGGGGGACCAGCAGATAGTGTAATAATTACGTCACTGGACTCCCACTTAGCTGACAGCAGTTTGAGTCCCAGACCCAGTGGCTTAAAACTCACATTGGGCACGTGTGCGTGTGTGCCCAAAATCCTGAGAGGAGAATGGAGGAGAAGGGATTGTGGCATGGTCATCCCTCCGGGGGTGATTTCTTGCTTTCTGTCTCTCTGTCTCTCTCTGTCTCTGGTGAGTGAATAAGCCCTGTAGCAAAAAAAATCTGTCTAAAAAAATTTTTTTTGTGGTACCCATTCTTACAATTTATTCATTCATCCAAGAAAAATTTACTTAACATCTATTATGTATCAGGTACTATGGTATAGTTGCCCAAATATTAAAACACACACACACAGAATTCCTAACTTTAAAAAGCTTATAGTTTAATGGAAAGACACATTTAAATAGATACATTATTTTGACTCCTCTTAAAATATATTTAATTATGTGCCTGAATTTCCTCCCCAGTTTATAAACTCCATCAGGGCACTGGCTGTATCTTTTTCATGTTACATCCCCAGCATTAAGCACAATTCTTAGATTCTTGAACAAAGGCTCTTAATTACAAAGTGATGAACTGAACAGGTGTGCATGTACAATTATAAGAAGTGTGAGTATATACAGAGGGAGGAAAGAGTAGCTTTGCCTAAAACAATCTGGAACTGGGAGGCTGGCATGAAGAATACCTAAGTCTTTGTCTTAAAGAATAGCTAAGACTTTGCCAGGTGAGAGGAGGAGAAAGGCCATCCAGGCATAAGCAACAGCATGAACAGAGGCACAGAGTACCAACAAAGCTGCAAAGATAGTTTCTGACCAGACTGTGAAGTTACATCTGACTACTTTAAGATATGTGATGGAAGCTCTATAAAACAAGTACTGTTTCTTGTTGTTTACGGTAGTTAACAGGTAGCAGTGGACAGAATTGATTATATTGGACACAGAAGCTAGTAGGGAGACCATTTAAAGACAGTTACTATAATTATAAAACACAATAGAATGCTATTTAGCCTTAAGTTTGTGTTTTGTTTTTCTTTTTGCTTTGCTCTAGGGTACATGCACTTGCCAGAGAGACAGAGAGAGAGACAAGGTAAGAAACCATCCCCTAGGACGAGCAGCAATCTGAGGTCCAGGGGATTTTCCAACAGTAAATGGTTTCTCTGGGGAGAAAAAAAAAGAACAAGATGAAAAAAAGATGAGATTCCTGTTTTCTTTTACCCCATTCCAATGTATGATCTCTTTTTCTCCTGATCTTCTTTTAGCTTCTCTCTGTATCAAGAAGAAATGACTCCTTTCTACCTTGGGACTTTGAGAAATGGAAATGCATCTTTTAGAAATGAATCCATAATAGTCTGGATTGTTGCTATTGTGGATTCTTAGTAGTAACCCATAGGAGCAACAATAATCCCCTAGTGTGGTTTCTCACTTTCTCTAGGAAGATGGACACACCTCAATCCCTTCTCCTCCAGTCTCCTCTTGGGATTTTGGGCATATGCACACATGCGCCTGGCATGATTTTCAAGCCACCGGGACTGTGCAGCCAGCCATGTGTGATCTAGCACCTTAATCTCCATGCCACCTGCTGGTCCTAGCCTTAAGTTCTTAAAAAAAGAAAAAAAAAAAAAAAGCAGAACCAGTCATTTGCAACAACATGAATGAACCTGGAGGTCACTGTATTAAGTGAAATAAACCAGGCTCATAAGGACAAATACTGCATGATCTTGCTTATATATGGAATCTAAAAGTGTTGACGTCATAGAAGTAGAAAGTAGAATGATGGTTACCAAAGGCAGGCTGTGGGGTGGAGGGGTAAAGGAAGAAGGAAAGTGGAGGTGCTAGCCAACAGGTACAAAATTTTAGTTAGACAGGAGGAATACGTTTAGTTAGATAAGAGATCTCTTGAACAGCAGAGTGACTAGAGTCAATAATAATGTATTGTATATTTTAAAATAACAAGGATTGTACATTTTAAATATCTCACCACAGAAAATGATAAGTAGTGAGGTGGTCATATGCTAATTAGCTTAATTTATTTGTTCCATATTTGCATGCATATATTAAAACAGCACATTGTTCTCATAAGTGTTGATGATTCTAATTCGTCAATGAGTAATATATTAATTTTTTAAAATAAATAATAAAAACAATTATAATTTAAAAGATATGAGCATTGGGTTAAAATGAGCCTTTATTAAAATCATGGTAAATGAAACTGAGAGTAGGTCTGATCCTAGGCAAATTATGAACTACACTTTTCCAGAATAACACTCTGGTGAAGATTAATGAGACAATATACATAAAGTAGAATGCAGAATTCCTGTCAGATATTAGGCATAAAAATCAATATTTGGGGGACCAGAAGTGAGCATAATGGCTATGTTGCTGGACTCCCATGTAGTCGACCACAGTTCGAGTCCTGGACCCAGTGGCTTAAACTCATGCCAGGCACATGTGCATGCCCAAGATCCCAAGAGGGGAAGAAAGGGGAAGGGACGGCGGCATGGCCATCCTCCCTAGGGAGTGATTTCTCATTTTCTGTCTCTCTGTCTCTCTCTGTCTTCCTGGTGAGCGCATGCACCCTATAGCAAAAACCTCTCCAAAAAAAAAAAAAAATCAATATTTGGTGCTATTATTAACCTCTGTGAGATTTCCATTCTTTTATCTGTAAAACAGATATAAAATGCTTGCCCTTTAGTTTTTCTCAATTATAGATAGCATATAAAAGCTGGGAAAACATAGCTGTTGTTCAATGAATGTTGTTATTTAAGAACATCTTATGGGGCCAGCAGGTAGTATACTGGTTACAACATTGGGCTCTCACGTAGTCAACCATAGGTCTAGTCAACCACGGTTCTAGTCAACCATGCCCAAACCTGGCAGCTTGAAAATCACTCTGGGCATGTGTGCATGTGTTCCCAGAATCCCAGGAGTACAATGGAGAAGAAGGAATTGGCTGTGGTCATCCCCCCTGGGGGATGATTTCTCACTTTCCTTCTCACTGTCTCTCTCTGGCCAAGGCATGCACCCTATGGCAAAAACCTTAAAAAAAAAAATCTTGTAAGGGGCCAAGTGAGCAATGATAAGCTAAGACCATGAGAAGAGGGTTGAAAGAGTGAGAAAATTCTAGGGAACATTTTGGGATAGAACTGACAGGACTTACTAATATGGAATGGGGACATGGATTCTAGAGTAATCGGCAAATAGTAGTTCAACTCTCGGGAATCTAGAGTGAAAAGAGGACAATGTGCGCTAGCCCAAAAAATACCAATTGGGGCAGGAGGAAAAGAGAAAGCCAGAGAATGAGGCAATGAAGAAATAAAGTGAGATTGAAAAGAATCAGAAAAACAGAGCCAAAGAAGTTCTGGGAGGAATGACTTTCAAGACGTCTAAGTAGGGTAAATACATATTTGTGCTAAAGAACATGGCAATCAATCAAATGGATCATTAATAAAACTCACAGATCAAACCTTCAGTATTGAAATTGTGTCACTTCTGCTCAAACCCCAATGACAACAGTTATTCTTTTCTCAAATTCTACTCACCTTGAACACTTAATTGCACCTCATCTCTGTCTTTCCCGATCAGATTAACTCCTTCACACACATAAATTCCAGAATCTTCCATTCTCATAGCAATTAAGGTGAGAGTTGCGTTCTCAGAAAGAGGCTGCATGTTTCCATCTTCTAATTTCTTGCTCCATATAATCTTCGGAGCTGGTAGGCCCTCGCTAGAACATGTCATTGTCACAGAGCTATTTTCTTGCAGGCTTGTAGAGGGATTGACAGTGATAACTGTATTTTTGGGTGAGCCTGAAAAGGCAGGGCATAATATTACCAATTACAAAGCATTATCTCAATCCAACCAGAGTAATGTATTTTTCTCACAGACTTTATTTACTTCCACAAATTTGCCAAACTTAGTTTTCCAAATTAGTATAAAGAACCTCTGAGTCATTAAAAATAGTAAATTCAGGGAACCAGCAGTTAGCGTAATGGCTATGTCGCTGGACTCCCCCGTAGTGGACCGTGGTTCGTGTCCTGGACCTGGTGGCTTAAAATTCACACCAGGCGCGTGTGCGTGCGTGCCCAAGATCCCGAGAGGAGAATGGAGGAGAAGGGATTGCGGCGTGACCAACCCCCCTGGAGGGTGATTTCTCGCTTTCTGTCCCTATGTCTCTCTCTGTCTGTCTGGCAAGCA